TATATATATAATGTACAGAATATTGTAAAAGGATTTCATTTAAAAAATAAAGTTGAACAATACTTTGACATTTTGTGAAATGAAAGTGACACCACTGTGCTAAATATGAAACTAAATCCAACAACGGATTAGCTTAACTTAAAACCATAACGAATTTCTACTTTTTGTTCTGTGTATGGGTCAAACGGTGAAGATAAAACATGCTAACTGGTTAGCTTTAGAGGTGTAAGTGGGCATATTTATGTCCTTTGGACAGAGCCAGGTTGTTTCATACTTCCTCCATCGCTAATTTCCTGCACGACATGACTAGCTTCACGTTTAGCGTACAGATGTCAGAGTGCATCGCTCTTTTAATCTAACTCTCTGAATGCGGATTTCCAAACATGTAAAACCATTCCTTTAAACCTGCATAATGTTTTTTGGCTGCTTTTGGGACTGAACAGGAAGCAACAGCAACAACACTGACATCATCATGTGGAGTCGTTTTGGCGGACATTTTGGCAAACAGTTGGAAATGCACATATCAAACAGACACAGAGCAACATTAGCATTTATTTGGATTTCATCAGATCACCTGATGAATGTAAGTCTAAAAAAAGTCTGGTGCTTGGTGCTATATTTTTCTCATGTTTCTTACACATCTCAGGGAGCCAGGTTTGGGAAATGTCTTTTTGTTTGTTTGACATACCTGTAGTTAGTATGTTCAGGGTTTAGATAGTTGTTTTGTTTATTGTTTTGTCTGAGTTATTTTTGCTTCACATTATTGTTAAACTAAGTTCATTTCTCACAGTAATAAATAACTTACACACTTTTATGTTGTGCTCCTGCTCTGCTACACGGGGGCGTAACAAGTCTTCACCAACTCCTGTGTGTCTGTGTAGCTGCTAAATGCTCCACTGTGTTCACTAGCTCGTGTCTAATTTTGTACGTTGTTTGGTGTTGGGCAGGTAGTGTACAACAACTGTTCCTCTGAGGCTGAAAACGGCTCTAACAAGGTTGATGAGTGTGAAGTAAAGCAGTAAATTTGTGAGCATTAAAACCAAAACTGAGGTGAGCTAAAGATGCGTAAACGCTTACAGAGCTGAGGTTAACAGTGGAGATGATTCTTACATAATGTGTTCAAGACTGGACGCTGTGCTACTAAATTCTTAACGTCTCCGTGTCAGTGCCTTCGACCTTCGCTTACATAGTCTGGGTTCCATGCAGGATAGGTGGGGTGTTTCTGTGCCTGGACGACCACGTAGGAAACCAACACCACCAGGAGCATCAAAGGACTGATGACCATCCAGCACGCCTTCCAGAAGATGTTGGGCCTCTTCCCAGTCATGAAGTAGATATCTTCGCTGAAACTGTCATAGGATAAAGAGACCAGAGAGAAATGTTTCATGTATATGAATCTCATGAGACTGCAGAGTATCACAGAAGAGGAGAAACATTACTTTTTCATTCCATAGATATAGGCGACTCCAATAATCTCAATGAACGCGATGATGAGCAGAGGAACAGAGCCCACGTAGCTGTTGAAGATCTCCACCCAGTAGTTTCCTGACGCCATGGTGAAGATGAGAGCTACCAAGAAGGCGACCAGGCACATGATCGCTACGGGAGAAGAAAAAAAAGTTGTTCAGAGACGAGTTTCAAAAGGAAAAACACTTCGACTTTATAACAAGCTGATTTGCAGGTACCGGTTGCGAGCTCATTGGGGATACACTTGGGCATTAGTTTGAGGTCCTTCATGGGATTGAGGACTCCTTCTATGGTGCCAAACATGGAGGAGAGGCCCAGGCTGAAGAGCATGACGAAGAACAGTATGGCCCATACCTGTGAGCCTGGCATCTCGATCACTGCCTCAGTGAACACAATGAAAGCCAGGCCGGTACCTGAGGCGCTCTGGGGGCGGAAGATGAGAGAGACAAAGTAATGAGTAATCAGGAACTGACTGTACATGTTTGACCATCACATGATGTTCTGTACTGATCCTGAACTGCAGGATTTAATTATTAAAATGAGACTCAGACAGAAAGAACGCAACGAACAAGACTGGGTGTGTTTTAATAGATACGATACCTGGTCGAGGAAGGTCTGCAGGTCACAGGGCCTCAGGTCCACTTTGGCCAGCTCACCTGGAGATGTCTGCTTTAGATACTCAAACCAGTGATTGTAGTTCTCCACTGTGATGTTCTGGTCTGAAAACTCAAAGTGGTTGGTCACAGCCAAGATGTTTCTGCAGACGGGATTAAAAAAAATCAGCCTCATTGGTTTCACTAAGAAAAAAGAAGCTTTAAAATTCACTGTGAAATGTTTGGCTGCACATTTACAGTAAATTACAGGCTACTAGTTGCATCACTTTCACAGTAAGTTGCTGTATCATTTTTACAGTAAATTATTGTGAGCTGACAGCTGTATACTGTGATCTCACAGTAGTTATACCTGCATATTGCTGTGATACAACCTGTAAAGTTACTGTTTTTACCTGTAACTTTGCAGTCTATGTACATTGGATTACTTTGATTTAGCTGAATTACTGACTGTAATGGTAATCTCACAGTTAAACTCCATATATTACTGTGATTTTGCGGTGTACTTCGGTAAAATTATTATATTTACCTGCATGAATTTCACAATAAAATCTGTATACAATTATATCACAGTTGTAGCCTAGTAGTGATAATAATGTAATTCATTGTGAAATATTACAGGTACATATTGTAATTTTTTTTAAATTGCTGTAAAATATTTGGCTGCACATTTACAGCAAATTACAGGCTACTAGTTGCATCACTTTCACAGTAAGTTACTGTATGATTTTAACAGTAAATGATATAGTTATACATGCATATTACTGTGATTAAGCAGCATGCTCCTGTAAAATTATTATATTTAACTGTAATCTCACAGTTTATTTACATTACATTACTGTGATTTAACAGTGTACTTCTGTAAAATTACTATATTTACCTGCATGAATTTCACAATAAAAATCTGAATATGGTGAAATATCACAGTAAAAGCCTGTGAAGTGATAACAATGTGATTTATTGTGAAATAATACAGCTACATATTTTAAGTTTCTAGAAATAATTTGCAGTGCACAGTATCATATTTGGCTGTACATTTACAGTAAATTACTGGCTACTAGTTGCATCACTTTCACAGTAAATTACTGTGAACTGACAGCTGTGTACTGTGATCTCACAATAGTTATACCTGCATATTACTGTGATTTTGAAGTATGCTCCCGTAGAATTACTATATCTAACTGTAACCGCACAGTTAAAGCTTGTTACATTACTGTGATTTAACAGGATATTCTTGTAAATTACTGTATTTAACTGTAACTTTATGTACAGTACAGGCCAAAAGTTTGGACACACCTTCTCATTCAATGCGTTTTCTTTATTTTCATGACTATTTACATTGTAGATTCTCACTGAAGGCATCAGAACTATGAATGAACACATGTGGAGTTATGTACTTAACAAAAAAAGGTGAAATAACTGAAAACATGTTTTATATTCTAGTTTCTTCAAAATAGCCACCCTTTGCTCTGATTACTGCTTTGCACACTCTTGGCATTCTCTCCATGAGCTTCAAGAGGTAGTCACCTGAAATGGTTT